ATAAATGTCTTGTGCAAAAAAAATTGTCTTAGTGGGGTTTAGGGGAACGGGACTCCTGGAAATCAGGGATGAACCGCCACTAGAAAAGTGGTTGGGCTGGGCCTTTTGGGCCTCGACCCGTTTAGCAACTTGAGGAGCCTTATCGTCGATATTATTCTTCATTTTTTTTAAAGTAAAAATAATTTTATGAATGAAAATTGTCCGTATTGACAAGTGGAGTATATTTCTTCAATTTTTTATTTGGGCAATTTTTTTTGCACAATAAATTATTAAAAAACACCATTATTATTGTTTCTTTCTTGGAGAAAACATGTAATTAGGCGCCTCATAATAAATATGGAAGTAAGAGCAGCTCCAAGAGATCTCTTTATATTCTTCCATATGGATAGGAATAGATATTTTAGTGAAAAAACATCCTCCATAAGCTTCTTTAATGAGGTCTTCAAATGTTGCCATCATCTATATTTGGTTTCTCGCTATTATTTACATGCCAAGAAACGGTTCCAAATATTTGTAGTCAATTATGTGTACCCTGCGTGTATAACGTGTGGACTCATCGTAGAGGTATTCGGTACCCCCAAACAGCAACAGCACACAAGAACGAACACAGAAGAGACAACAACTTCACCAGTGAAGAGTCTCAGGACTACAGCAAGCATTGTCTTGAGTTCAAAATGGTTTGAATATAGCTACACATGAAAGCCTATTAAAAAATCATGTTCCAAAAAAAAATCATGTCCCACTTAACATCTTCTGGCAGCTTCACCAAGCGAATTTTGGTGTCGTCCCAAATGCTGATGTGTTCTTATTGACATCATTTTCCCAGGAGGGCACAGAAGCTGCATCGGTGCTCACTAGTACAGCTGCTTAAATCTCCTTGCGGCTTCAATGATGTTCTCTCTGTGTCCGAATGCGCTGACCCTCACAAAGCCTTCGCCGCCCGGTCCAAATCCACTGCCAGGAGTAGTGACCACATTCGCCTTCTCCAGGATCTCGGCAAACACATCCCAAGAATTGCGGCCAGGGAAGTGCACCCATACATAAGGAGCGTTCTTGGCACCATACACGTTGAATCCAAGTGATGTAAATGTGTCAACAATTATTTTAGTGTTCTCCTTGTAGAAGCCAACAACATCATGCATAGCCTGCACGGGAACGATCGGATAAAACAAATAATGCAGAAGAGCAATATAAGAATTCCAAGAACCAGGAATCCTACCTTTAGACCCTCTGGAGAGAGGCAAGCTAAACCACCAGCTTGTGCAATGTTTGATGCACCATTGAAGCAAGTGCAGACTATGCGATTGAAATCTTTAGCAACTGGATGTCCATCAGAGAAAAGGAGCTCCTTGGGGATAACAGTCCAACCTAGACGGACACCAGTGAACCCAGCATATTTCGAGAATGATGCTGTCTCAATAGCAACCTGCACATAAGCAAAACCACAATGAAAAAGGTGCAGTCTATTTACAAAGGGGAATATGGTGTTCATAGCACTGGCACTGTAATTTTTAGGATAACCATGCAACTGAGTCATTTTAAACACCCCATATGTAGTATGAACAAGTAATTCAGTAAATATTGGAACATATTGCCTACCTCCTTTGCTCCAGGAATTTCAAAGATAGACTTTGGGCTGTCATCTGATATGTACATTGCATAAGCAGAATCATAGACTATGATGGACCCATTGTCCTTTGCAAATTTTACTAATTTGTTTAGTTGGTCCCGAGATGCAGCAGCACCAGTAGGATTGTTCGGTGAACAAAAGAAAATAATATCTGTCCGAGGGACAGTTGACAGATCAGGAAAAAATCCATTTTCCGGACTGCATCTCATGTATTCAATGTTTCCATACTTCTGAACATCTTGCTCATATAAATCAGTTTGGCCCATGATAACACTTGAATCAACATATGCCTGTCAAAATGAAAGGCCTGCTTTAATTTCAATGGACAATATGTAAAATGGTAACAGCTAATTGATAAGTAACAATATGACAAAAAAACATATCACGATTATCATCACACATAAGTTTAGAATCATTAATATGAAAGTGTAAGTAACTGACAGTTACAATTAATGCAAGAGTTCTCTCACAGGGTATGATGGATCTTGGACCGCAATTGTCACATTAGATCCAAAAAGGACCTGAAATATTGAATTAGGAGAATTATTAGCAAACAATTTAAAATGAATTGTAAACTTAAGAAGGGAGGAGGAGTCAAATATTTTTGGTACCTGCAAGCGAGATATGTCACATTTGGCACCATCAGAGACAAATATGTCTGAATCTTCAATGCCAAGGTCCGCATAGTAGGTTGCAGCAATTGCTGCTCTGACTTTCTGCATTAGCAATCAGCAAGAAATTTTATCACGCTGAAGGAGCTTATACAAGAACAAAGCAAAGAGAAAACTACAAATAGGCTTGAAAACTTAAAAATTAATTCATGTAAGCAAAGTAGTTCAAATGTGCAATATGCAAGCATTTGGAAGGATAAGTGACAGGAAACACATCAATTAATTGGAGGGATCGTATATGGTCGGTCTTTAAACTAAGAAGTAATACATTACAAAACAGTAACCCTTAAGAATTAGAGAATCAGATATCATAACACTAAGAAGTTAAAACAGTTATCCTTTTATCAACAGATCGTCAATCTGCGTCAAATAATTTTTAAGTAAAAGGCGACCAATCTTAGTATCCAGATTTCTCCATGAAATATTTATGTAAAGCTTCATGTAGTATAGCTGTTAAATAAGTATCTGAATTAGCCTGTTAATGCAATAAAAATTGCTGATAACGCCACAAGGTACCTTTTCACCTTGCTCAGCTCCATAACCGCTGTAGCCATCAATTGTTGACAAGGCATGTGCTCTCTGTGTTTACAAATAGACAGATAAAAAAAATAATGTAATTGTAAAAGAGATATTCAGCAGCAACAAATGTATAAGTGTTTTCTCAACTATAAAACTAAGTGCCGGATCACTGGGATTTTTTTGTGGGCTGAATATATATGATTGACAGGACACTAGTTTAACATGAATGTACCTCTGCCATGGCATTTGTTATGACATTTGGAATGGGCTCGGTGGTGTCACCTATCCCAAGGCTTATAATCTTGGCATCTGGATACTTCAGCAAATGAGTTGCTCTTCTCCTGGCAATCTGCTCGACAGTCAAGAATTGATACTATCAGAAGCCAAATCTCCAACAGAATAGCATCAGTAACAAAAGGAAAAGATGGGAATGACGCGTAACCTCAGGAAACAAATATCCTGCTTGGAGTTTGGCCATGTTAGCATTGCGCGGGACATTAGTCTTGTAAGCTTCAGGACAGTAAAAAGAAAATATTAGCAAACAACATCCATATTTCTGTTCCTACAACATCTTCAAGCAACTCCTTAAAAGAAAACAACATCGACCAAAAAAAAAGCTAAAACATGAATTCCTACGAACGGGATGGAAACGAATAGTACATGTGTCGACGGCCGGAGGGCTACTGACGCAGCGGATGTCGACGGAGACTCTCCCAGCGGGCCGGCGGAGGCTGGTCATCGATGCCCTGGAAGGGAGTCACAGTTAGACGTATCCACAGGAAAAAAAAACAAAAATCGCATGCTGCGACGGGTACAAGGAAGGAGTCAGCTACTTGAGACAGAACGGCGGCGAAGAAAGAAAGGAGGAGGCGGCGGTGATTGCAGGGGCACCGGCAGGGTCCGCTGCCATCGCGACGGCCTGCACGTCTTCGCTGTGCTCGGGCGAGATGGCTGCACTGCTGCCGTGGTCGCCGGTCGCCGGGCGCCGGCTGTAGTCTTCCGTCTTCGTCAGAGAACGCCGCCGCCGACGACGATACTTTTTTCAACAGACAAGTCGAAAGGTTGAGTGGAATCAGGGACTTGCTAGGGTTAGGATGGCATTTTTGGGCCGCCACTGCCATTTCGGGCCACCTCCTGAAGAAAAATATATGAAGCCCACTTTGGTTTCGGCCCACTAGTCTGGCCGGAACTGCTTAGCGACGCTAAGTTGACCCCTGTTTAGCGTTTTTAGCGCGCTAATCGCCACTATTAGCGGTCACATCGTTTAGCGCTAAAATGCAAATCTATAGTTTAAAAAAAAAATGCAAATCTCCTAGCGTCAGCCGTGCTAATCCGCTAAATCCGGCTGTAGCGGCAGCTATAGCCGGCTATTTTGAACATTGGATTTAACCCTTCTGCGTGATGTGCTTTTTTTTTTTTTAAAAAAAAAACCCCTGACGAGCTGGGAAGGGGGCTTGCTCGTCGTCTCACCAGATGACGACATTGGCTCGTGCTCCAAGGCCAAATCAACGCTACACCTCGCGTTGTACCAGCCGCTGTGAGTTGTCGCTGGTGTCACCTGATCCAGTACTCCGTGCGCCAAATCCGTTGTTCCAGGCGCGAGAGGGGTGGGTTTCGAGCAGGATATACCTCGTCGAGACGTCGATACATTTGTCAGGCTTGAAAGCAGCAGTCGCCTTTGGCGCTGATGCGCTCCGCGCCACCACGCGGGGCACCGGAGCCATTTCTCATGGCCGCGCAGGACGTCGCAGCCCCGGCTCTGCTCGCCGACCTGCGCGTGGGAAGCTGCAGAAGCTCACCTAGCGAGCGGGTCGCCGCAGCTGCCGCTCGTCTTGACCGGACCGCCCTAGCTCGATTTGCTCGATTGGTAGCCGCAATCTTTGTGTTCTTTTTTTTAATCAAACAGAACGTGGGCCCTACTTGAACCCAAACTTTATGGGCTTATTGGGCTGTGGCTGCACAGATAAGCTGCTCGGCTGCAGCCCGCTTGCATCTTCTGTGCAGACAAGCGCATCGGCTGCTTCTAGGGTTTGGACTGCCAGTACCGAGCACGAGGCTGAGCGTGACCGCGGCAAAGGCAGCGGCGGCGCACGCGGCAATCCCGCTCCAGCTGGGGCCCTCGACGACGGTGGCTCCAGCCCTGGCCTGAGCAGCGACGACAACCGCTGCTGTGTTCTCCAATGGCGGTAAGCTCTTCTGACTTCCACCGGATCTCTCCATGTCCTTTTCTAGGCGACTTACGAACCGGTTCTGTTCGCTGTTCTTGTTAGTCATCATGTGATTTTGTGTTGTCTACGGTTCTTTTTCACGCTTCCTATCTGTCAACCGCCTGAAATCGACTTCGGTTTCAAGCGACAGCAAGTCGATGGTGCACCAAGCTCACCACTGCCGGTCCTAGAAGAATCGTTGGTTGGTAGGTAGGCCGGACCGGCGGAAGTGGCAGGGGGCGTGCGGCGGCGACGGCACCGGCACCGGCGAAGCCGCGGGGACACGAGCAAGCGGCGGCAGGCGGGGGAGCGCGGCCAACTGCCCCGTCGAGAGGTCGTCTGCTGTAGTTGGGAGGGCATTCACAGTTGAGACACCTAGGTTGAATTCCAGCAAGATTTAGATACTAGCTAGGTGAGGTGTATGATTTTGGGATATTTGAAGGAATCAGCTGTGCAATTGGGAAGAGGGGAAATTGCGGAAGAGTAATTTTGAAGGCGCATAGTGTATAAGTATGTTTAGAGGTTACAAGGGGAAGTTATTTTTCACCTTGATCTTGTATTAGGGCATGATTGAACTGAGTTTTTTGGGGGAGTGACTACCAAATTTTATCAGTGTAGCCAAAAACCGGATTTTGAAACATAACTGGCCTTTCTGTATCTTTTTACGGATGCCACTGCTTCTGATCTCAGTCATCATTGCCTATAGTTCAGGCCAGTGGTTTCACCTTTACCAGTACTGCTGAAGTATCATATAATAGCTGCAATTGTTTCTGCTAGCTTAATCCAAAGGTGCATTAATATTTGCCTCCATGCACAGCTGATTACTATTTTGCATTGTGGTTGCAAAATTGCTTGTGATCTCAACATCATGTGAAAAGCATCAAGTTCGTAGGCTGTTAAGCTTGATTCCGAGTCTTGTTAATATGTTGAATCACTAAAGTTGCAGGAGAAATTTTATTAACAGTAATATACTTGACTAGATAAATGGATGAGTGTCTCACTGTCTCCTTCCAAGGTGACTTCGATAACGAGATTTAAAATGTTGACCTGTTTATACATTTTTGCCATGATGCTTAATATGTGCTGTATTATTGGTCTATTTTTTCAGTTAAAAGTTGAGCCACTGGGTGCATCATGTCATGCATGCCATATTTTTGTGATATTCTTTATGCACCAGACTGTTGTAAATGCCTACCTTCCAATTAATGGCAGAAATCTATCATCTAGTTGACCAATGGGCTTAGTAATAATGAACTACGGAAATCCAAAGAATGAGAGTCTTGTTATTTATGTTTGCTAGCTATAATAAAGGAAGACCTTATGGTATACGTACTCACTAATCAACTCTCGTTTTGTGCAGACTGTGCCGGTTAACCCAAAACCTTTCCTGAACAACCTGACAGGGAAACCTGTTATTGTCAAACTCAAGTGGGGTATGGAGTACAAAGGTAATATCTCCTTTTTATATTCAGTTTGAACCAGAACATTTTATTTTCCAGATGCTGCCCCTGCTCTTAATCAAACTGAAAAACTTTTATTATACATTCCCAGGTTATCTTGCTTCGGTGGACTCCTATATGAATCTCCAGGTACTAATTTGACAGTTTGGCTGTCATACTATTAGAGTGGTCGTCTATTGAATACTTTTTAGATGAATAGCTAATCATCAATTGGGTCTAAATGACATACAAAATTCATTGCTGCCTTTTTTTTCCTACTGTGTGCAGCTTGCCAACACTGAGGAGTACATTGATGGGCAATTCTCTGGAAACCTGGGAGAGATTCTAATCAGGTAATGTTTCTTGTTCCTTTCTTTCTAGCTTATGTCAAGTAGTAGTGTTTTGTAATAAATCTAGATATAAAACTGGGAAAAGCTTGCATACATCCTGTCATCCTGCTGCCCTACTCCAACTTCCGATACTTGGAAAGTACTATGGTAGTGTTGATCAAGTTACATGTTAAGGAAGGCTAGGGCTTCTTCAAAACTTAAATTGGTGTGAACTGGATCTTCGGTCGATAGTATCTGATCAAACTAAGCCCCGTTGCATTGCATAATCATTTGGCCCCTATATGATTCAATTTTATGTTTCTACATCTACATACAGGTGCAACAACGTTCTGTATCTCCGAGGCGTTCCAGAGGATGCAGAGATAGAGGATGCAGAGTGAGAAGATGCGATCCATGTTAGATTGATAAATGTAATATGATTCTGACATGTATGTTTGAATATGCCAGTGACAACTAGACCTACCGGATCCTAGCTATGATCTTTTGAGTGATGAAACATGATGACAGTAGGGCTTGAGGTGCTGTTCAAACTGCTTTCAGTTAGACAATGCTGTCATTCAACTGAATGTGAGGGGTATCAGATTTCTTGAACAACTCTTGCCTCATTGCCTACTACCACAGATTATCTGAATGTGAACTTACACGATATGTTAGACGTTATATCAGGGCAAAACAATCGGCGATTATCTGAATGTGAACTTGCACGATACGTTAAACGTTATATCAGGACAAAAAATCGGCTCTGTTGGATACTGAGATCAACGAAATGAAATTGCATTGTTGCAGATTATAGCAAACTGACTACATAGGCACGATAAAACGATGAAATGGATCTAAATAGTTGATCCAAGCATACTTGAACGCCTACCTGTTGCAAGCTACAGTACCTACTTACAAATGCAAATTCAGGCATGTCATGATACCGAGCGCCACAGCTACTCCAGTCCACCAGCTCGCCGCACTGCGTCCGGCTCCGGCGGCCGATGGAACCTTCGCTGCCATGCCGCCGTGCGATCTAGGAATCGGAATGACTCCTGTCTCACCTGGCGCCGCCGGTGGACTATTTGTGAGGTTTGGTGTAGGCATCGGCCTGATCGGGGACGGAACCAGCGGGCCGGAACCAATGAACGGTTCATGGTGGGGTCCAGGAGCAGCCACCGGCGCCTGGCCCGGTGGCGCTGCCATGGGCCGGGGTCCAGGCGCAGCCGCCGGCGCCTGGCCCGGTGGCGCTGCCATGTGCCTCGCCCTTGGTGGTGAAAACGGCTTCGGGAGTCTGACGCCCGGTGGGACGACGAAGCCGCTCACCTGCAGCACGGCCAGGCTGTACGGCTGCGCGGCGACCACCCTCTCGACGGTGGCGTTCCGGAGCCCCGCGGGAGCGGCGGAGGAGATCGTGGCGCGCCCGTCGCGCCCGGAGTAGACGCGGAGGAAGCCGGTGCCCCGCGGAACGGCGCGCATGCCCTGCAGCAGCGTGGTGACCACGGAGCCTTGGCCCACGCGCCCAGCCTGGGCTCGTCGATGTAGTCGAGCACGACGTGGAGCGCGAGGAGGTCCGCCAGGAACGAGCGCGGGATTTTGGGCAGGGCACAGAACGCCGCGGCGACGGCAGTGTTGTTGGGCGCGAGCACGGTGACCTTGTCGCGGCTGTTGATGCCGAGCGCGACGTTGGTCTCGGTGAGCATGGCGCTGAAGTTGCTGAACTCCGGGAAGCCGGCGAGGATCTTGGTGATGCCGATGGTTCCCGCGCCCTCCCCGTAGCCTGCTCCGAGGCTGGGCGGCGCGGGGAGGGGAACGGCGAGCAGGACGAGGAGGAAGGGCGCCATGCGGCAGCGCTGGGAGTGGCAGAGCACGCGGATGCGATGCGAAGGTGGTGACTGGTGAGGGGGCTAAAGGCTGGTGACCGAGAGCTCGGCATATATAGCCGTGGATGGGAAACGGGAGGAACCAGATCCTCTGCGGTCGACGAGGACGACTTTTCTCTGCATTCAGTAACCGTTCAGTAGAATCAGATGGTACACAGTTCCTCCTAGACACTACACCCCTTCACGCACTGGGCCTCGCCCAACAACGACGTTGCCTGGAGGAGTTATGGCCCAGCTCAAGATGCTCGTCGGCCTGCTTTTCGCCCTTTCGCTTCGCTCGAGCTCCGTCGAGCCAATCACCAGCGTCGCCGCCGCACAAGATGCTTCACTCAAGATGCCCGCCGCCGCGGTGCTGCTGAACAAGCTTGTTCTCACCGCGTCCGACTCTGCTTCCGCGCTCGTCACCGCCACCACAGCTGCCTGCATCACGGACTCGCTCGACCTCGCCGCTGCGCTGCCGTTGGGCTCCCGCGACAAGGCCACAATGGCCGCTGCTTGCGCACCCATAGCCGTCGGGTTTGCGTCTCTGATCGACTGCTGCGTCGCGCTGCTGGCCCGCGTCGCCGCGCTGTCGTGCGAGGCCGCGCGCGGAGACGACACGACCTTCGATGTGCCGGCCTTCGGCGACCGGATGTCCGCCACCGACGACCATGGGGAGACAGGACCTGCAGCCACGAAGCCGGAGCGTCGTGGTGGTACAGATGTGAGCACCGGCGAGGCGAGGAATGCTGTTGCCATAACCAGCCACGGGCTGGCAGCGTCTGCGGCGACGGCGCCATCTTGACCGCTATGGTGGGGGCGGGGAAGGCGAGCGCTGGCGAGGTAGGAGCCTGCTGACGTGCCACGCCGCTGGATCAAAGAGGAGAGGGGAGGGGAGCGCCGGCGAGGTAGGAAGCTCGGAGCGTCGCGGTGGTGGACGGCTGGGGAGAGGAACGTCGAGCCGGCCATCGGCGGCGGCGGCAGAGTCGACGTGCGTCGTGATGTTGGGCCGGCCTAGGAAGCCAAGTGCAGCAGCGCATATTTCTGGCTCCACCGTCGGATAGAAGTGAACGGCTAGATGCACAACGACTGTAGAGACAAGTCGCTTTGGTCGACTCCAGAGGATCTGGTTTCGGAAAGCGAAGCTTGTTGAGGTGGCGGGAAGGGAGTGAGAAGTTGGGTGTCTGACCAGTGACCAGTTCATGCGGCGGACACAGATCAGCTTAGGGCCTAGAGATCGTAATATGTGGCTGATGTTTTTGAGTGGGCTGTGGCATGAGTGCATGACCGGATTAGAATGCACTTCGGGCATGTTCGGCTGGTGTTAAAGTCGACTGATAAGCCGACTGAAGCTGTTTTGGTGTGAGAGAAAAATACTGTACATTCTAGCTGATAAGCCGGCCGATAAGTTCAAGCGGCCCTTCATTTGCTCAATCTTCAGGCATGTTCTGTGCGCGCATTCGGACTGTAACCTTTCTGCAGGCAATATCTTGTTTGATTATTTTAGAAGGCTGTTAGTGTTTTTAGCTAGGCTAGTGTTTTTAGCTAGGCTTTTTATTCTTTTGTGTGTCCCTACCCGTTAATCTGTTTCCACCTGGACTCTTGTCTCTTGGAGCAAAACAGAGTATACGTGTTCGCTCCTAGAAGGCGTAATGTATGGACCAATGACACGTGGGTCTCCATAGATGTGGGTAGTACGCTTTCCGACTTAAAAGTAACCCACGTGCAACTGCCCCGGGGAATCTCCGCGGAAGCTCGTCTGGAGAATTCAAACTTTTCCCCACTTCGGCACCGCAGCCGCAACCCAGCACTCCCTCTCGTCTCCGCGCCCCCACTCGCCAATGAAAGCCTCCACCGCCGCGGGCGATCCCTCGCCGCGGCCGCCGCCTGGCGGGTGGCTCTCCGGCCTCGTCTCCGGCGCCGGCCGCCTCCTCGCCGCCGTCCTCGACCCGGAATCCTCCGCCTCCTACACCACATCCTCCTCCCCGGAGTCGTCGCAATCGCCACCGCGCCGCGATCAGGCCACTGCCGGTACTCTCTCTCTCTCTCTCTCTCTCTCTCTCTCTCTCTCTCTCCCGGTTTCCCCGCTTCAAAAATCCAAGCACGGCGTGAATGCTCCGCTTAGTTTCGTGCTGCCGGTTTTCAGTGAGGCGCCCGGGTCCGCATTGCGATCGTATATTTCTCAATTGTTGTGTACGCGCGCATGCCATCAATCCATCATGGGTGGGTTGGCGGAGGGCCGGAGTGTCATTATCTATTTAACTTACAAATAGAGAGGGTATCGGATGGTTCATGTGTCTGATGCAAATTCGCGAATGGAACAAGGGCCTCGAGGGCCTCTGTACGGAGCGTTTGCTAATGATCGAGGCCTCGAGGGCCTTTGCATGATGTTGACCATGTTTTAGGTGCTCGGGCATCATTTCCAAAAAAAAAAAGCTAACTCCAAGTGTGTTGCTGTATTGTTTGTTTTCCATTATTATCTAAAAAAAAGGTAAAAAATGGGTGTGATGGTATCCTAAATCCATTTTATCACTCTATACAATATAGGTGTAGGTGGCCATATAGATGCCCGTGTTGCTGGATTGTTTGTTTTCCATTATTGATGAGCTTTGCAAAAAATGATTCCTCAGTGGCTTAATAAGTTTCCTGATTTATATTTTTCTTATCAAACAGATCATGGTATCGGGAAGTGTTTTCCTTCTGACAGTCATCAGTTAAATTTGGTGCGCCCATTCTCTGCATCTGCAAACTTACTAAGAAATAAAATTTATTACAGTCTGTTAGTATTTAAATCAAGTCCTTCTCTTTGAGCATTGGAAATTAATTTGGTTACTTCGAGATCTGTATCATCAAGCTACTGCTTTCCTGTGGTTCTAGAGTGGCAAGGAGATTGTTTTGAAAGATTCTGGTGAAGGGTCACTTGCAATTGTCTCAGAGATAGATCCAAAGGATGCTGTAAAGCAGTTGCTTATGCAGGAAACTTACTCACGGTATTATGCCTCGTACATCTCAATTCCTTGATTTATTAATCACTTAATCTTATGATGATATGCAACCTTTTCTTTTCATTTGATGTTGCAATTTGTATGCTCAAACATTTGAGTTCCATTTTCATTGAGTTTTCCTAGTCAGTTGCGGTACAGTCTGCATTTCATTACTGACATTCAGTTTCTACACAGTCTGCATTTCATAACTGTCATTAGCGAATATCCAACAAGTATGCGGCAGCAAAATTCAATAGATCTGAAACTTGCCCTTGTACTAACCGAAAATGAGCCCATGGTAGTGGTCATTTAAAGAAACATGTTGAATGTGACACCAAAATTTGATAATGTTCTCCCACTCTTATCCCCTAGTATATCTCTTTATGAAGAAATAAAAGCACAAGTAATTGACACAAAGATTTGAAACTAATCCTACTGGTTATTTATAGAGCCAGTTGCTAAATAAACTGGACTAGAAAGTTTGACTTCTGCACTATATTTCTAATGTTAGGTCGGAGTGTGATGCATTAATAAAGATAATTCAAGAGAGAGTTGTGGACTCAGACGATGAACCTGCTGCTATTCTTCCAATTGCTTGGCAGGCTAACACACAGCAACATCCTGTTGCATACTCTTCAAGCCCGAACACTACTGTCCCTGCAGTTTCTAATCCTGCTAATTGTCCAGTGTTTGACAACATTGTTGAGAAGGAATGGCTGAAGAAAAGTTCAGCTGTTGCTGAAGGTCCTTGCACCAATAGTCATGACCGAATTCAGCGTGTGAGTCTTCTTATCTTGAGGAATAATTCACCCTGTGGATTTCATTAACTACGTGTTTCCATTACCAATACATAGAAGCGCATTGTATTTCTCTAACAAATTTTATGCTGCATGTTGCAAAATATGCCGTATTTGTTTTTTTGTAATATTACTAGTTTGTTGCTTTCTTAGGATAATCATGTTTGGTGTAATAAATTTGACAATTGATGTAGTTTTTTCAATTTTGAGAACCTTCTAGTCATTTTTTTAGTATGTGCAATGTGTATTTCACTAAACCATATAATTGACAATTGGCTCTCAAAGTAAACATTTTAGATTGAGACAAGGACTAGACACCTCTGGATTTTAGGATCTTGTTTGATTACTTCCTTCCGTGTGTTCCTGGAATTATGCAAACAGTTCCGTGAAGCTAAGGACCTTCTAATGATCTACAATTATCAGCTCAAGTAAAATGTTTACTTTTTTTTGTTGTTGATGTCATGGATTAAACATTTTAGATAAATCTCATATTATTTTGATTTAATTCCTACTATATCAACTCTGCAATTATGCAAACATGATGTCATAATCATTACTGCAGGCTGTGAAAAGAAGTTATTCCCCAGGGGATATTTTTGAGGATGCTCGAAGAATCAGGCCAAAGCGAAACAAATCAAATTCTCTTAGGAATCATGGAGGTATCAATGTTCAAGGATTTGATAATTAACTGACATTGGGGATGCTCTTCTCTGACAAGTTTCAAATTGACTTCTCTGTTTCTTGTGACTACTGCAGTTTCATCCAAAGAGGTTACCGCTAATGCTACTAATGCACCGATGGGACTTCCAGAAGATGTCAGGACGCTATTTAAAGATATTCCCATTCTTGGGACTAATAACCTGACATTTTCTGACTTGGCTTCAAAGGGTGTGTTCGATGATGAACCCTCTGCTGTAGCTGCTGCTGCTCAACACTTCACTTCCACCTCTTGTCAAGCTGATTGGGATAAATGTGGCTCTGGCATGTCATATCCATATTCTAGTCGGGTACTTGAACTACACAACACAACCACTTGATATGCATCTCTTTCTGAGATCAAATAGGTGAATGATGAATATGATACCATCATTTGTTTCAGAATCAGCCGGAGATGTCTCGTGTCAAGGCAGAACTTTTGGATGGACCTGTCCCTCTTGAGACTGACATGACACATTTGGTGCAAAAGAACAGTATGTTGCCT